TATACAGCATATCATATAATCACTCAAATTTCCCTTCATGTATGATTTGATTTTAATGGCTTTAGAGAAAGTAGATAATAAAACTATTAGGGTAGCAAAATAATATTCCTTGTGAGTGGTAAGCAACATGAAAACACCGATGGTGATCAAAAGCTAACAGGTACTGCAGTTTTTGTTTAGCTGAGCTAGTGTTAGCTGCATTGCTAAATATCTACTTTTCCTAACATAATAAAATAACATTCCACCTCCCTATAGAAGATGGGTAACACAGCACAGCGTGAACAAAAGTTAGATGACCTCATCCCATGAAATGCAGCCATAACCTCAACCTGCCTTGTTGCTTAATTAGCTTATTTTAGGTATTTACAAAAAGCAATCTATGACAGGTTTTGAGACTACAGTGTGAAGAGTAAAATATTTGAAAAATAATCACAAAATAAAAGCCATTTTAAAATAAATGAATTTCAATCTTTTGAACATAATGGGCCAGATGCTCATTTGGAGTAAACTGATATAGCTCCATGGACGTGAAGTCACTTCACTGGGGCTGCGCTGATTTATACCAGAGGAGTATTTGGTCCAACAAGCTTAAATCACAAGACGTACTCATGTGCAGCCTCTTCACATTATCTGTTAGTATAAGCATAACTGAGAAAACTGATAAAGTTAAAATGCAGTAAGGGAAACAAAAAGTGTTGGTTTCACCGGCAATTTGTTAGAATAACAAAATGCATACGTTGCGAAAAATAAACATAATACTACGCAGAGTATCCTAAAATGTGGTGTATATATATTTGTCATGAACTAAGATTTATATGTGTGTATATATATACACACACACACACACACACTCCGTGCATGTGGGGATGTATGTCTAGGATATATAAAACTGTAACCAATGTGATACAAAGTGGATGAAGAATTAAACAAACAGGTAGGCTTTTTTCAAACTAATATACCCAGTTTTCTGATGCTTCATCCATTAATTTTGTTTATTCATGCTCATAAGCAATGTACAAACAGGGGGACTCCTCAAATGCAGGATTTTCAACTGTGCCCATTTAACCCTGCCCTGTTTTGCATTTTTAAGTCCTTAAAGATGAAACACTTGGTAGCAAAATTCATAGACAAGCTATAAACAGAAGGAGCGTACAGCTTTAAATAATTATGTCAATGAAATGACAACTGAGCTCTTTGCAGGAGCAGGGATGAATAATTACAAAGCTGGGACATAATTAAGCAATTTTGACTGTCGTATTCTTAAGCTGTCGTTCTGATGTGAAGTGCTGTCATGCCCAGCAACATACTTCACACTGGACAGGCATCTTCCACTTTGATCTACACTTATGCCAGTGAAATGAGGTCACAGTCTGGTCATTAAATGAGGCTTCCTCATCTGGCTCAATGCCCCTTATCCAGCCAGGCTTACAAGATTTTTATTAAAATCAAACATGATACAACATTCAATATTTTGACAGAGGAAAATAAAAACATCACAGAGTAATGAAGTTTAGCTCACTTTACATGGAGAGATGGAACAGTGCATTGTAACATTAAACTGTTTTCTAACGAATGACTGCATCTCTCTATCAGACAGTCACATCACAAACAGATGCATTTTAAACAACAAAGGATGAAATGAAGCAAAGGACAAGAAAGTGCAGTGTCTTGTTAAAAAAATAAAAACCGGAGACATAAATGTAAGTATAGGAATTTATACAATATAAAATATTTATGACTTTGCAAAGACTTGTGATTGCCAGATACTTCTGCATTGTGTAAATAAAAGCTGGCTGATGAAAATGTCCTGACTTTATTCTCATTTCTTGTGTTGTTCTTAGTGGGTCATTCTGCTCTCCCACTTATTTTATGGAAAGAATAAAATGACACATCACAGCCTCTTCCAGTTTATCAATCTGCCTTGTGGAGTTTTTTTTTTTTTTTTTTGGCTGAATATGTTTTTCTATCTCCTGCTTACCATAATGAAAGAAACCTAACTTCAAATTTGATTTTGTTATGAAAAATAAGTCTAACAGGTTCAGTGTACTACAATACTCAGGAAAATATTTCCATATGGCATCTATTCAAACCCTCACAACACATTCCAATTCCACTAATTATCACAAGCTAAATATGAGTCAGTAATGTAACACAGTTGCAAAAAAAGCAAACATCATTCTGGGATGTATTAGCAGAATTGTTGTAAACAAGACACAAGTAGTAATGTTTCCGCTCTACTCCACGCTGATTAGGCCTCAACTGGAGTACTGTGTCTAGTCCTGGGCGCCACATTTCAGGAAAGAGTGAACAAATTGGAGAAAGCCCAGAGAAGAGCAACAACAATGATTAAAGGTCTAGAAAACATGGCCTATGAGGGAAGATTGAAAAAACTGGGTTTGTTTAATGTGTAGAAGAGAAGACTCAGAGGGGACATGGTGCCAGTTTTCAAGTACTTAAAAGGTTGTTACAAGGAAGAGGGAGAAAAATTATTCTCCTTAACCTCTGAGGATAGGACAAAAAGCAATGGGCTTAAACCTCAACATGGTCTGTTTAGGTTGGACATTGGGAAGCACTTGCTAATTGTCAGGGTGGTTAAGCACTGGAATATATTGCTTAGGGAGGTTGTGGAATCTCCATTACTGGAGATTTTTAAGAGCAGGTTAGACAAACACCTGTCAGGGATGGTCTAGATAATACTTAGTCCTGCCATGAGTGCAGGGAACTGGATTAGATGACCTCTCGAGGTCCCTTCCAATCCTATGATTCTACTTGCCCCCACCCATGTACAGTATAATTAATTCCCTTTATCCAAAATCCTAGTTATCCAAATGCATAGTGTGCCTCCCATGTAGTCCTATGTAGTTAATAGCACTTCCATTTATCTGAATGCCCAGTTGCCCGAAACTTTCAGATACCCCCAGGCCATTCAAATGAACGGGAGAGTATCATATATACTTGTATATACACACACAACGGTTGCCACTAAAAAGCATCATTTCTCAATAATTATCACACCATGATTTCTGCGATACGACAGTTATTTCCCATTCTAGAGTACCATTTTTGTGGAAACTGGGAAAATATTCCTTTTAATCGTTTTCACTGTATCTGTATATGTGTAGTGTATCTCTAAATATATGCACACACTGCATCTACAAACCGTTCCACCCATGCAAAATATGCTTACATATTATGTCTGAACATCCATAGAAGAAAACACTCACCCAGAGCAATTGTTTGTTTTTATATGTATATTCAAACTCAATTACAGTTGCATATTTTAAATTGTATAGTATATAACTTTGTATGATGAAGATAATTCTGTAGCACACTTACAGATATTTACTCATGCCATCAGAAAGCATTTACAAAAGGTATTTTATCATGCTAGATAACATCAGCAATTCTGTAACAAAAAATTAAAAAAAAAAAATTCAACAAGGCTACAGCAACACTAAATTTAAACCCTGTGCTAAGGGAATTGTTGAAATAAATGTATTTTTTATCTTTAAGACTTAGAGGGCAACTAATTCAAAACTACACAGTGGACTAAATTAGTAATACAAAGGATAAAGTTTGGATCCTGTCTATGAGAACACCTTACCCTTAGCAATTGGTTTAACAGCAAACACAAGTAAGTACCATCCAATAAAGTAGGTACACACTTGAACAGCCACTGTCTCCTGCACTAGTCGAAACACAAATGATAGATTTATAAATGAAGAATTTAACTGTTAATAGCATTAGAATAAAACTTCACTAATAATGACCTAGTAGATAGAAAGAGAATAATTATAAAAAATAAATGGCATAAGCACAACATAATTTACACATTTCAACTGCTGAATTTTGCAAGATTTAGTAAAGAATATTCTGTGAGGAAGCTTTTCACAAAAGCTTAGAAATAAATGATTTCATTTACTACACACTGTATTATAAAAGCTGAAATAGCTAAAGGTACTTAGTAAACAATATGTCAAACCTATGCCTGAATAAGAACTGTTAGCATTTTAGTAGTTATAAAATGAATCAATCTGAATTAATTTGCTATCTACTGCAATTGTACTGGTGATAACGAATTTATCTAGTAACACTTATGCCATCAAATATAGTGTAGTTCCATTGCTGCTGCACTATTATTCAGCATTATTGGAAATCTGCAATAAATTATTGATGATGTATTTTCGAGAAGAAAACAGCCTACAGAAACCTACCAGATTAATAAACTTGAAAAGAATTTTAGATAGCTAATCATTTCAAGAGATATTTGTAATGCTACAAATACACTGAAATACTAAGGGAGCTGTTATCTTGTACTGATCAATGATGAAAGATGGCAAACTGGAAAAATTGCATCTGTATTCTGTTTGAGTCAAAGGCATGCAATTTGCCCAATTTTGAGGCAACTGGTGTGAGAAAGCTTGAGTCTGAATCATAGATTAGAGAAACTGTCTCTCCAACATCAACACTCATTAATATGACACCACATTAAATTACATTGTATCAACTAAAGGTCAATAAACACCATAGGTGTGAGCTCTCAGATCAACATCTGTGTACAACATGCATGGTAGGGGACAAAGTGTCAGAAAAATTTCCTTCTTTTCTAACATATCACAGAGTTGTTATAGATCTTTAGAAAGAGCAAAAATATTCTTTTGATCCTGGCAACATGTGTGTGTTAATTAGTTATGGTTCAAACCAGCGTTTCAACTATGATGCAACAACCATGGTCCGTTAATCAAATTTAACAGTAAAATTCTGATCTTGGAAAATACAGATTAAGGATTTTTTTGTCCCACACCTGATTCAATAAGCAATACTGTGGCCTACAAGGTCTCTGTCCATTCCTTAGACATAGCTTTTACCAACCTTTCAGAATAGTTGTTTTAAAGATATATTACTGTTTAACAAAGGTATGCATAGTTACTTTTCTCTAATTTGCAAAGTGGTAGGCAAGTGGGATCAGTGTATGTTACAAACTCCATTTAGTCTCCTACCTTAGCATCCATGGGCTTTACCACTTTCATGAAGGCACCTCGTAACAAGGCTTCCTCACGCTCCCATTTGGTTACTTTCCGAGTATCAAGAAATTTCAGGTTGGTCAATTTGTGCAGAACAAAATACCTAAAAGAAATGACAAAACGTTTGAGTTAAAATCCACATTGACATACAAATCCATCTTCACAAATTATATGACTCAAAAAAATATACAATTGAAATGACCTTTCTTTCCCCAATCTTTCACCCACGCCCTATAATCTAGTCTACTCTACTCTACGTAAGGAAACTGATATTTTCCCTTTGTGAATGCAAAACTAAGTGGACCAGGGATACTCTGTTGTAGATGCACAGCCCAATGAAGCATTATTGTGATGTATGACACATGGGTCAAATTGGAAAAGGCAGCTTTCTGAGAACGTAAATACAGAGACTAGATACAGAGAGTTTGATAAGCACGACTTCCAATTTTTAAAAAATTTGTTAAGTGTAATGTTCTCTGATATCCTGCTGGACAATTTGGACATGGAGTTATGTTAAAAAATAAAATAAGATAAAAAACACAGAATCTTCTCCACCTGCTGTGCAGTTTTGTAATGCTCAGGTCTTCAGTCACAAATTCACCTTCAAACTTTTATTGACTTTTGCTACAAATACACCTCTACCCCGATATAACGCGGCCCGATATAACACGAATTCGGATATAACGTGGTAAAGCAGTGCTCCGGGGGGGCAGGGCTGCACACTCCGGGGGATCAAAGCAAGTTCAATACAACGCGGTTTCACCTATAACACGGGAAGATTTTTTGGCTCCTGAGGACAGCGTTATATCAGGGTAGAGGTGTACAACAATCATCATTGTTAGCAACATCAGGTAAATTGCATATTAGGGTTTTGATCCGGCTTCCCATCACATACCCTAGAAAGTCACATGCATTAAAGATAATATTCCAAGGTACACAGAGATGTATGCTGTGCATCAAAGGGCATTTAAGAGTCTTATTAAAAACAAGACTTTATCTAGAGATGGTACTGAGCAATATAATTTGGATCTGGCTTCAAGATCGGAATTTTGACCCCGCCGCAGTTTGGAGATATGGTTCCAGTTTTGTCTTGTTACTGATATGGGCCCCATTCATCTAAACCTGGCTCAGGTTTAGATTCCAAAGTGCGCACGCATGCTCTTACACACACACACACACACACACACACCCCCAAATTTTGGACAGGTGTTCAGATTCAAAGTTCTTGTTCAGTCCCATTGCTAGTTCTCTGTAACTGCATGTTTTGATCAGATAACAAAAGCTCCATTAGCTTGAAAAACACTGTAGGCTCCTTACATACAGAAGTAGAAAGCATGGCATGAATCAAAAGCAAAACCAAACACACAACTACTTCAAGTACCTGCTATTTACATACAGTCAACCAGATGTGAAACAGACTTTGCAAAGGGAGGAAGTGCCAGACTCTTTCTTGGCAGGGGGTGGAAAGGTGATTGATAATATTCCCCATGCCTAGCTGCTTCCCATAAACACCCAATCAGTCAGTCAAACTGGTAATCATACTGACTCCCTCTGGCATCTGAAAGAACTCACACACATTCAGAAGTCCCAGAAAACCTTGCACAGTGCATATGGCTATATTTTAAAGAGAAAAATAGTGCTATTATTTTAAAGGTCGGAGTTACCTTCAAGTACTCCTCAGTCCTGGAAGCTCCTTCACTAGAGGTTTCAAAAGGAGGCTGGATAGTCATCTGTCTTAGATGGCTTAAACACAACAAATCCCGCATCTTGTTAGGCTAGATGACCCTTGCAGTCCCTTCTAACCCTATGGTTCTATGATTCTATGATTAATTCTAAGAGATTCCAAATTTGTCCCAAGTTGTGAGACCAACAGAGTTCATGCACATCACATTAATGTTTTTATTAATTATTTAACCTTTCTACATCCAGACAAAAAAAAAATGCTACAAAGCAGCCTTTCAGCTATATACACCTTTCCTCTGAGGCAATGGCCTTGTAAATTTTTAACAAGTGAATTGAATATGTTCACTGACACACATTAAAATGGTCTACAATTTTAATATGAATCATCAGCCTATGCACTTCAACTAAATAATAAAAACAGAATAATAGTAATAAACTATGCAAGGTGAGAAGTGAGTTTGCTACGTAGAACATGTCCCACGACAATTTGTTCGGTGTAGCTAGATATTAGAGATACTGCCATACTCTCAGACACCTCACATCTTTCCTGGCTGCCCTTCCAGTCCTTTCTGACATTCTGCTGCCCCGTATCTTTCTTGGGAAGAGAATACATCCATCTTGTGTTACTGGCAGAAAAGCTCGGATGACAACAGATTCTTTCAAACGAAGACATGTACAGAAGGAAATAATATGTCAAGAGTGAAGCTCGAAATGAGCAAAGACACCCACTAAGTGTAGGGTGAGAAAAGATGAATATTCAGGTGAAGAAAACATCAGTATTAGAAAATCAGCAAATGTTTAATGATGGAATGAAAGATGCCATCAAAAAGCAGGCAGCAACAAAACTGACAACAGACGAAGACAGCCCTGTCATTTTTGCTGACTTTGGATCACAGCCTTAAATGTCAGTCTCTCTGTCATTTTAAGAGAACTTAAATTTATAACAGAATTGTTTCTACGGGAGTATTTTTCTTCTTTTCTTACCCGCGTTTTTTAAAAAAATATTCCAGAATTAGGGCCTTATCTAAAAAAACCCACAAAATAATTAGCCAATGGAGTCACCAGGACAGAAGTATTTTCAGGGTTCCTAGTGGGGCAAATGTTCTACAGGGGATGATAAAACACAAAGGCAATCTGTAACAAACTTTAAAAAGCTATCTGTCATTAGGAATAAAGTATCCCAATAATGATGCAGTTTAAAAAGAGCCAAAATTAAATTACAACTGAATGTTATTGATATAATTACAAAGGTTTTTAATAAAACAATTGTTAAAGGCCAGCATATGACTTCCAGGTTTTAGTTAGCAATATAGTTCATTTGTGATGCAAATTCAGCCTAAATGTAACACCAATTTGCCATAAAAAAAAAATCTATAAAAGATTACTAAAGCCACGGAATGAGCACTACAATATCAATTCAACCCTTGTAAATATTATCCAGGGTTATTTGTTGCACAAAATCTCCTTGCTGTGATGTATGACTTAGTTACTAAGGTTATCACAGCAGTATCCTAAAGTTGCATAGTACATAAAACATTTCAGTTAACAATGCAGGGAGGTTAACTCCCACAGATAACCTACTATCAGAAGGTTAGCCCAGATGACATGCCTCTGTCAGCTTCCAGGAGCTATTGATGGTTCAATCAGTTTGTTTTGAAGGTAAAGTACAACAAAAGGGCACTAAACTTATTCAAACTGTCAACAGGGACTATCTGGAATGTTGCTTGCAGGTAAGTAATTTTGGGTGTTTTAAGACTATTATCAAACACCGATGGCTGCAGAAAAAGACAGCTACTAATAACACAGAGTGCAGCTATCATAAAATACGTTATGGCAGGCACTGGGATCTATAAATTGCATGACACATTGCAACTGCTTTAGACTTATACCATTGCCAGTTAAAAGAATACCGTTGAATGAAAAAAATTCATCTAAATTTTACATTCTAAATTTAGAATGTTTTGTTTTAGTTTAGGAGTTGGTTGGGGTTTTTTATGATCATTTTGAATCTTAGCACTGCTGCAGGTGCCCTGAGACTGCTGTTGTGGGGCTGACCATCTTTGCAGTAGTGTGAAAGAAGATTATTATCTGTAGTGATGAGGAAAATGGTGCGCTCTGGAAAGGGATGCTAGAAAGGTGTGTAAAGACCCAAAGGAAACCGGCTATACAAGGAAAGCAACATCATCTTTCGTCCAAAACTTCCCCTCCCTCCCCCCTCAAGTGTGTTAGGAAAGTAAACTAACAAAGGGGACCAACACAAAACAGAAGTCTAGATCACTTGTAGCTGTAGGTGGAGAAAAAAACAAACAGTACACGGAATATCGCATTCCATTTTATCTCAGCTTTAAATAAGTGGAAATTACAATATGGACTAAAATTCATTAACCAATTCCGTAAGTGTTCCATGTGATTAGGATTGTTTTAACATTTTTTACACAGACCTGTCAAGACATTAAGGGGACATTTTCAAAGGGATGCACGGGTTGGTGATTCAGTTATACAACTCCACCACCAATGTTAATGAAAGTTTTATGGAGATTTTCCTCCCCAATACTTGAGAGAGGTGTTGAGGTCAGAGTACTGGAAGCAGACTGAGGAAGATGTGAGTTGTAATACTAAATCAACATGCACACTTGCACTTTTATATGCATAATATACAAACACTGAAAAAACAAATAATAGTAGTGTCTCCAATACTGACTTACTCCACAGCCTTAGACAAGTCACAGACAGGGGTGCTGGAACAATTTGTATAGTGGGGGTGCTGAGAGCCATTGAACCAAACTATAAACCCTGTATATGATGGAAACCATTTCAAGTCATGGGGTGCGGCAGAATCCCCAGCACCCCTAGTTCCAGCCCCTATGGTCACAGACTTTCTATGTCAGTTTCCTTATTGGTAAAATGGGGGTAGCAACATTTATCTACCTTGCAGGGATATTGTAGGTGTTAATTAATGTTTATAAAGTGATTTGAAATGGAAAGCTTTATGTAACTTATTTTTAAAATGTACTCCAAGGTACATCTACATTTCCAGCAGTAGGTAAAGTACAGACATTGAACTCCCAGCTGGCACGGGTATAAACAGCAGTGTAGACAATGAGGCACAGCTTAGACAAGTAGAACAAAGTGCCCTAGACATCTGAACTCCTAGAGTCAATATCCTATACAGCTCTCTACATGCCCAGGCAGTGCCTCCCACATCTATACTGCTATTTTTAGCAGTGTTGTGTCCCACTGCCAGAGCCTTTCCCCACCACAGTGAAAGGCTCCAGTGAGGGGAGGTAGTGGGGAAAAGTTCTAGAAACAAGGGAAAGGCTCTGACAGGAGGGAGCTACCAGAGCCTTTCCCTGCTGCCTGAGCCTTTCACTGCCACAGATAGCTACACACTGCAGCCACAAGCGTGGATCTAGCCTGCCT